CTTTGAAGTATGTGTCACGACCCTTGCACGCGAATCAAGAACACAGGCGCGAAAAACTCTCGAGGCACTCTGGATTAATTCCAGAAATCCGAAAATGAACCGCAGGGAAGAATGCCTTATTATCACGCGTGATGTAGGGCAGTATATAAGACTGCTATTCTGATGCGTGGGGTACATTATACTTCCATGTGATTTCTGTGCGGTTGGTCTCTACGTGACATACTTAGTGGAGACCTCATAGAAAGCGGTGAGTGTGCAAAGCTGTGTTCAATGTGATTGAAATCTTGGTTTAGAGTTTCTTTGTTTGGTTATGGAGGCGTCTGGCCAAGTAGATTGCTGTCAACTTGACCTTTCCAGGCTCTGAGGAAGGCGAAATCCGCCGAAACGTCAGCTCATTTGTGAATAAAGAATAATAACACCTCGCGTTTGCTCAACAAAAATACGAAGAATTACATGATTATGTGTTGTCCCTGGATTATCACCTGCATCACCATGGTCTCCGCATGTGATTTTTCTGCCGATCCGGTCCAGGCAGCCGGTAGAGCTATGGTCCTCCAGCATTCGTCCTGATATCGCTTTACGGTTGCGTAGTTGGTGTCCTTTGTAGTGCAGCGACAAATTTGTTGAGGATTGATTCCTAACAATCTACCACTATCACATATTGCGCGGATCATTGCACTTTTTGCACTGGATTCGTTTCCTCGCATCCATTGTTCGCGGTCTTCAAATTTTTCTGCTGTGGATTCGACTACTGCTTAAAAATATTCGATGTCTTTTTTAATGTTGTTGAGTACTGATCAAGTCGAATTTCTCTATTCGAAATCCAACCCTAGAATAACCGTAATATGTCGTTCATAGGTTTAGTGGACCAAAGGGAGCTTTCCAAACAAGTTTAGCGCCAGTTTCCTTCCTCTTTAGGGTTAGGAGGCTTGGTTGGCCTTAGGTTTTGTCTAACAATGGCTCTTAGCAGATTAAACAGTAACTAAATTGTTGGATACTTACTTAGATACTTGGACGGTCCGTCTTCACGAGCTGTGAGGACCCCAGTACATATGCCATTCCTTCCTTTCTCTCGTAATCGTAGTCGATGGTGGTGACCTTGTTCGAGCATGGTGGCGCCTGCGAGTCTCATACCATGAGTCATGCGAGTCTTCTGTAAAACAACTGCAACTGCGGGTACAGTTGATTTACTATGCTTACGAACACGTCCGCCCAGCGTGTTAGTGGTCGTCCAAGGAGACGTTTGCATTCTCTTGGAGTCCACTCTACTGTTCTTTTCGTCCATCTACCGTCTGCTCTTCACATTCTGTGACCAGCCCATCTATGTTTCGCTATCGATGTATATTCTCCTGGATCTCGAAGATGTGACAGATTTCGAAGGTCAGAGGTTCGCATTTCGGCTAGATAATCAGAGTGCCATTTATATTTTAGAAGAAATCGCTCAAGCGCTCTGTGAGTAAAGCGAAGCATTGCTGACGTGGTTGAAGTGTCAACCCACGTCTTTGCAGCATAACAGAGCGCTGGGAAGACCGTAGAATCAAAGAGATGAGCGCGGATTTTCGGATCTTTCAGTTGGTCAATGGCTTCCTGGAGAGGCCAGAATGCGGCCCAAGCTGCTCCCCTTCTTCTATTTAGTTCCTTCTTCATGTTGTTTTCCATGTTTATTGATCGCCCAAGGTATACGTACGAGGTGTTCTCTTCAATGAGAGAACCATCCAATTCAATTTTTTCTCATTCGCACCATGGGTTTTGCGAAGTTCGATCTTTTTCCCCACTTCGTTAAGCTCGATGATCATCATCTCTGTTTCTCTATTACTTCTTGCAAAGATGACAATGTCGTCGCCAAAGCGATAATAGGAATTTTCCATCAATGCGTATGCCTTTCTCATCCTAATCGAGTGGCTTCATTATCCATTGCAGTGCGACATTGAACAGCTTTGGCGAAATTGTGTCGCTTTTTCGAACCCCTTTTTCTATGGGTATTCTAAGAGATCGATGGAAAAGCTGCATTTTCGTAATATAGTTCCGATAACAGTCGGACAGAGTCTTTTTGTAGGACTCCACTCCTTGGTCGACGAGCGCTGATAGAATTGCATTCGTTTCGACACTTCCAAACGCTTCCTCATAGTCGACAAAGGTTAGGACTAATGGTAAGTGGTATTCCCGACGAACTTCGATAACCCTGGACACGGTTTGGATGTGGTCCGTGCAGCAAAATCCTTTTCGAAATACTACTTGCTCGACTGGCGCCTCATCAATGTCCTAGGTATGCGTGAGGGGATAACCTTCGCGAAGAGCTTGTAGAGAACACTCAACAAACATATGGGGTGGTAGTTACGAAGATTCCTTCGGTCTCCCTTCTTAGGCAGGTTGACCGTGCGCGACGTCCTTTACCGATCTGGGATTTCTTCCTTTTGAAGGTAATATGTCTTATGATCTGCGAGAAGTGTATGTAAATTGTGGCTTCCAGCTCGAAGGAAATCGGCAGTGATATAATGGGGTCCTGTAGCTGTGCCTGTTTTCATGATTTCTTTCGCAATTCGAACCTCCGACGAAAGATTTCCAGGTGGTTTTTCTCTAGCGGGGATATTAGGGTCCACGACGTTGTGAAACAGAAAAGGTTGGTGTAGAACGTTTTCGCTATTAATTTCACATCATGGCGAGAAGTTTCGACGGTCCCATCTTCCTACTTCTGTTCAACAAGCACGAGGCTCTATCTTACTTCTTCTATTTTATTTCTGACATTACGCTTCCATGTGAATTTGGTGCGATCGGTCTTCACGCGACATACTCAGTGGAAGAGGCTCTGAGGAAGGCGAAATCCGCCGAAACGTCAGCTTGTGCGTAAATAAAGAAATAAAATAGCACCTCGTGTTTGCTGAACAGAAATAGAAAGATATATCCAATCAATGCCGAGGTTAACAGAAAGTCGGACTTGGGAGTTACTACAAGATCCCATCTTCGTTCATCAGGACTGACAGTGGAACATTGTAGTCACACAAGTCCCGACGGCATTTTTCCAGACTGCTTTCTTCTCTGTTGCTTCTAGTAGTTTCTTTTGCTTGTACCGTTGCAGATCTTCCTGCAGAGCTCTTCTGCAGCTGGCATTTATTACTAGCCATTTTAAACGTGCTGCAGTAGGATCAAGCTTTTGTTTCCTTTCCTTTTCGAGCAACCCCTTAGTAGTGATGGAGATGCGATCCGATCTTCTTGCTTGAGGAACTGAAGCTAACTCGGCACAACTTTTCAGTCCTTCGACAAGCAGCTCGTAGTCTTCGGTCAAGTCCTCATTAATCTGCCAGTCACACTTGGACAGGACTTCGTTTAGAGTGTTTTCGTCGTATACAACTAGACTTTTTCCTCGTGGTCGATGAAGAGAGTGCTTTTCCAGTTTGCGGCTGAGTCGAATCTTCGCGCGAAAAAGGCGGTGATCGGAACTAGTACGGAATGACGGGACTACCGATGTGTCAAGTAGACACCATTTTTGATTTGTCAGGATATGGTCGATCTCCGCATGAGTCATGCCGTTGGGAGACTCCCATGTCCAGCGGCGGCTTTCCTTTTTCTGGAAGAACGAGAACCCACGGAGGAGATATGCTGCTGACAGTAGTCCTGTTGAATGGTTCTCATTCTCATTCCCTTCTCCTAAAAAAAAATTTCCGATCCTGTGTTCGTTCTTGTTGGCCTTTCCTAGCCCGTTGAAGTATCTGTCAACATATTTATGATATGCTTTCTCATTGCAGATGTTTTCCTCCAACTGATAATAGAACGTATTTAGTTCCCAGGATCGACTTTCTCTTAACCTCGGCATTGGAATATGAATGTGACGTTTTCTTGTTCAGCAATCGCGAGGTTTTTAAACCTCATAATCATGTTTATCATAATCAGCTGTTCTAAACCTCCTCATTGGAAGTCACGAAAAAGCGGCTCTGAAGATGGTGATACTGCCGAAACGTCAGCTAGCGTTGTATTGTATTGTTTTTTATGGAAGTAAATGTATGCTGTTTAAAAACCTCGCGATTGCTGAACAAGAAAACGACACAGAACGTATTTAATTCGTACTCATCAGCTACGTCGGTCGGTGAGTAGCAGTTGATGATAGTGATCTTCTTATGATGCGACAGTTGAAGACGGAGGACGGTTATGCGAGGGGAAGGGATCACGTATGAGTCGACGAGGTGGACAATGGACGTGTGAACGGCAAAGGCTACGCCACCGACATTTCGTGACGGGACGTTTTCTCTACGGATCACAAAGATCCCGCTGTTTAGTTGGTGTGTGTCGGTAATCTTGACTTTTGTTTCTTGTAATGCGATCACATGAAATGTAATGCGATCTGCGGTTACAAGAAGGACGTGGAGATCGACGTTTTTGGCATTATATGCGGACAGTAAGAAGCAATCACCATGGCGTGTCGTGCGTGTGTTCGTCAGATACGGTTCCAATGACGTCCTGCGTAACCTGAGATTTCCTGGCCTCTCACCGGTCGTCTCACCGCCCGACGTCACAGGCGAGAGCACCCAGTGTGCGCGTTACTGAGGCTGGCCTATTGCTGGTCGTGCAACTTGGTCCTCGGTGGAGTCCTAACTTAACCTTGAAAGGGCGCATGCAGGTCTTCACCACGATGTGGATCAGTGGGAAGTGTGTTTTCGGCGACGAACCCTTCGCTCGGCCTTCATACTGGTTGATTAGGAGAGATGTTAAGACCGAAATCAGAAGCGAACGTCGGAGTGAAAGAGTAACCGACCACTCAAGGACGATGTAGAAGCCGAAACCGAATTGTTAGTTAGCATAATTCCAATCTTTATCTTTTGAATTGAACAAACCAAAATTTATCGAATTTTCTTCCTTTCTTTTGTCGCCATCTAAGCATTCTCGTGTTACGGAGAGGAAGATGTCCACGCTTAGTCATACTGGTCATCTGCATACATCTCGACGAAACCCCATTCCAATTACCTTCCTATATTAATTCTTATTTGGAACTTTTCTGAATTTTTACACTAGCAAAATAAGTTGTTCTTCGGAAAATTCACAATTTCTAGATACCTTTTTACCTTTATTATCTATCATCATTCGAGTCTCATGATGATGAACGTTGATCTGCTTCTTTGACTATCTTGAGCGGAACCTTGTCCTACTAGAGTTTTTTCTCTACTTTTTGGGTAGAGTTTGTCGTTTCTAATTGTTTTTAGGTCGTATTACTTAGGTGAACAAGCACAGCTTGTGCTCCCATCGCCTTTGGTCTGTTTGCAGTTGGTGAATACTTCGGAACTCGTTGGACGCCTCCCGCCAATGCGAAATTGTGAAGGATTACCATGCCTACATGTGCTCACATTCAATTAGCAGTTGGATCTTGCTCTCCCTACTTCTCTTGCTATTATGCAACTACTATTGTAAGCAATTTTAGTCGTTTGCACCAATTCATTCTTTTGAAGAATCACTTTTACCACGTGGAATTCTGGTAGTCACTCGTTTAATGGAGAGTAGCCCCAATTCGTAAGTGCAACGTTCTTAAAGTGGAGACAAGTAAGGGCTTGCTTTGTTCTATATGAAGGTCGTCGCTTTTCCTATGAAACAACTTATTTAATTTTATTCTTATTATTTTCATTTATTCTTCCTTTTTATTTGTATATTTATAACATCTCGGTTCTCGGTCAATCCGAAACTCTTCTCAATCTACTTAGCAGCCAATCATGTGATTGCAGGCTTTTGCCATAATTGCCTTCTGCCGACGATACAATCCACTTTACACGACAAATCTGCGCTTCCACAGACGTGTGCATGAAAATGGTTGAGTTGATGAGTAAGGTGAAGAAATCAATCTGGCACAGCATGAGGCTTACAGCCTACCCTATAAATCCACCTGTTCTTCTTCGAAGAACCACTTCCAAAAATTCTTTTTGTGACTCGGTCGGTGCTCAGCTACTTTTTCTGCATCTACAAAGCCAATAGCTCATAAAGCTGCTCGAGATCTCTCGTCAAGTAGAGATATACTGTCCCTGAACTACGTGAGTGTGCCTGAATCACGACATCGCCGACTGCGTACTAGAGCTTATTTGTATATGAAGTGCCGTCTTTTTCGAAGTTTTTTTTGCGGTTTTAATGGGAAGCTTGAAAGGAATGAAAACGAAACTGTAAGGTCTAAACATAGGGTAATATAATCTGGTACCTATTTTCTCGATTTCAATTGGAGCAGTTCTCACGCCTAGTGTTTATCATTTTAAAAAAGTTTCCATGGAGACAAAAGTCGTAATTACTCTGATATCTTCCACATTTCATTGTTTCCGACGTATCACCTGTAGTCCCCTTGATCGTCGAGTGACTCGAGCGGGCGCCAGTAAATCTTCCATTTTTCCCTGTCGCCCGCAAGAGTAGCCCAGTGACTTCTGCTTGCTCTAGAGACTCGTCGAGCATCATATATTTCTTCTAGGCTCTTCGTGAAAAACTCTGGCCATTGGGTCGGTAGTCTTCATGAAGTACGTTTGACATCCCGAGGAATCCAGTCACTAACGGTTCTTATCCATCGGTTGCCATTCATACGCATTACGTGCCCGGCCCACCTTATCTTCCACTGTTTGGCGTACAGAACGGCATCTTTGATTTTTGATCGTTGACGCAGATCGGAGCTTCGGATCCCATCCCTTACTTGTGTAGAACGGGATACCCCTACCATCGTCCTTTCGACTGCGCGTTCGATAACGCTGAGTGACCTTTCATTCTGCTTACGCAACGACCAGGTTCCTGACGCTTACGTTAGGGCAGAAAGTACCGTTGAGTAGAAAAGGTGGGCACGGAGTCGGGTGTTCTTTGTTCTATTCACTACATCCTCCATGCTCTTGAAAGCTCCCCAAGCCGCTCGTTTTCTTCCGCTCAGCTCTGGAGCTAGGTCGTTCATCATGTTGATTTCCCAACCTAAATAGATATAACTGGAGCATTCGTAGATATTGGTTCCATTACGCGTGGAGGGGCATGTGAAACCAATCCATTCTTCGTGAACATCGTTTTTTGAGATTTAGTCGAAGACCAATCTTTCCACAGGCTTTATCAAAGTCGTTAAGCATACGTTCCACTTGGCTATTACTTAGCGTTATAAGGACGATGTCATCAGCTAAGCGAAGATGGTGTAACTGCCCAGCATCGATTTTCACTCCCTTATTATCCATTCCAATGTTCGCATGACGTTCTGGAGTGTGGTGGTAAATAATTTTGACGAGATGGTATCGCCTCGCCTAATTCCTCTTTTGACGTCAATGTTAAATATCGTTGTAGAATGGTAATACTTTGGTTGTAAAATTTTTGTACACCTCACGAAGAATCTTCACGTACTGAGTTGGGACTCCTTGACTATCAAGGGTTTCCATGACTGCTTTTAACTTATCATGTCAAAGGCCTTCTGTGAATCGAAGAAGGTGAGACAGAGCGGTTTTTTGTACTTTTGCGATATTTCAATGAGTCGTCTTATCGTGTGGATACGCTCCATTGTACTAAATCCTTTTCGAAACCCTGCTTGCTGTCATGGCTCTCCATCGTCTAGTGCTCTGTCAATCCTGTTTAGGACGACTCGAGTGAAAAGTTTGTAGGAGACATACAGTAAGCAGATTCAACGATAGTTGCCGATATCGTGTAGGTCACTTTTCTTGAACAATAATACAGTCTTGCTGGTTTTCCACTGAGTAGGGATCTTTCATTCAGACAGGTAACGTGTGAAGAGCCATGCTAGTGTGTTTGCGAGGACTGGCGGAAGGTTCTTCAGGTATTCTGGTCTTATTCTGTCTGGGCCTGGAGCTGTTCGATTTTTCATCGACAGAATGTCATGTCGGATTTCGGAAAGGAGAACTGGTGGTACAACAACATATCCATCCTCCTTTATTTCATATGACGAAAGGTGGACGTGGCTATCTAGGAGATCCGCGTAGTATTCGTGAATGATTTTCTCCATTGCCTTTCGGGACGCTGTAACTGTTCCGTATGGGCGTTAGAGTGCAATTATCTTAGTTATGTAATTGGCGAAACTTCGATGTGCTTTGCCATTGCTTTTCCCAGTCTCTGCAGCTTCGACTATTACTGCTGTTCTTCTGTCTTTAAGGTCTTCTTTTATCGCCTATGTGCATTGTTTTGCAAATTCGGTCGTTAGTTCGCGTATGTGTATGTCTGCAGCTCGTGCGATTTCACGTTGACGTATCAGCTCGAGTGTTTCTGGAGACAGACGTCTCTTGGTAACTTTCGAACTCTGAGCTTTCATAGCGCAAGCGTGAAGATGTTGAATGAGCCTATTGTATTCTTCGTTGATGTTATCGACAACGGCATCCTCCCAACAGCCGGCTAGTGAATTGAATAAGTCCCAGTTTGCGGTGGTTCTGGGACTTCGGTTTTGGAATTTAGCGGCTTTTTCTCCTGTCCGCAAGAAATAAAATCTTGCACGTAGGAGACGATGTTCTGATCCCGTGTAGAATTTTGGCACAACAGCGACATCAGTTAGGCAAAACCTTCTATTTACTACGATGTGTTCTATTTCGTTATGCGACTCTCCATTGGGAGACTCCCACGTCCAGCGCTGAGGGTGGGGCTTTTGGAATTGCGAGTTACCATGCATTGTCTTGGTCGCCATGATAAACTCAGATAGCCGCTCACCCTGTTCGTTCCATTCTAATCCGTGGGTCCCAATGTGACGTTCTTCAGACGTTCTCCTTGCTCCAATTTGGGCGTTGAAATCTCTAATGATGACCTCGAAGAATGTGTGGTCTTCCTTCTCTGTAGAACTTCTTTAACTCCATATAGAATGTTTCGACTTCTTCGTCGTAGTTTGATGTC